AAAAAAAAAAAAAAAACATCAAAATTATGGCATATTGAAAAATTATCTAATTATTAGCAGAAATGACAATCATTGCCTGATTTAATTTTTCACTTAATTCAAATAGAAAATCAAGTAATTTTTATATTTCCATTAATTTTTAACTTATATTTATTAAAACAGGAAAAATATTATAATATGTAATTTCACTAACCTGTGTTTTGGTGAGAAGAAAGAAAACCCTAACTCAAGTAGTTTCTTTTCTGCTTCTCCCATTCCAGTTTCTTCATTTTGTTCATGACTGTATTTCAAAAGTTTAACGAATGGTTTTTACAATTTGTAAACAAACACACACACACAACCTTATCTTAAGGCAGGTCTGAATTTAAAGAACCTTAGGGATTTAAATCTAGCTAACCTCTAGTGATCTTAACAACTTACAGGGATTCTATTTCAGTAATCTACTGGGATTTAGGGTACAAGCATCGTGAAATAGTATCTATGGTACATTGCTCTTACAGATCCATAAATCTAAAAATACCAGGGGTTTAAACTATTGAAAAGTATGCGAACTAACCCACAAAAATCTAAATTACAATCATTTTAAATATTTAATAAAAAAGACCTTAAAGATGAACTGTTCATGAACAGAATTACTTTCAATAATATTTTAATTTACTTTAATCAAGTACATTACACATGTAAGATTACTGTTTAACATAATATGTAATATCTAAATTACAATCATTTTAAATATTTGATAAAAAAGACCTTAAAGATGAACTGTTCATGAACAGAATTACTTTCAATATTTTAATTAACTTTAATCAAGTACATTACACATGTAAGATTACTGTTTGACATAATACATAATATCTGCTTGTTTTACAGCTCACCTTCTCTTTAACTTGATGGGTCGTTCATCAGGAGGTTCATTACCATCTTCATCACTGTTACTCCTTACTGTTTGTCCTCGACTATGGCTTTCAGAATCTTTTTGTTGAACTTGTACCTTATCTTCTTTAGTAGCTATACTTTTAGAGGAACCTGTTTTAGTTCCAGTGTCTGATTCTCCTTCACACACCTCAAATGTGCAGCATTTGTTTGCCTCACAAGTAAAACCTTTAAAAATACTGTCTTCATTTAAACTATAGTAATTTTTGATATTCTTCTCTTCACAAATACCTGAGTTGTTTTTAAGATCTTTAGTACCTTTATCATCAAAACTTTCTTTCAAGGTGTCTTGTTCATCCACATCTTTAGCATTTTTCCAGTAACAACTGCCCTTATTATATATTGTACAACACTTACAGTTGAGGTCTACGTTACTATTTTGTTCATAAAAATAATCAATTCTCTTCTTATCATTGATGCTTAGATTACTTTTCTGTTCACATAAATTCTTATTACTCCTCTGGACAGTACTATCTGTATAACTTTTTGGTTGAAATCTGACATCATTACCCTTTTGGTATCTACTTTGTGCAACAGTTTTTAGTTCATTGCAGTCCTCATTCACCTTCTGATTAGAGTTGTCTAGAATAATTTGTTTACAAGAATTCTCATTATTCTTCTGATCAATGTTGTCTACAGCAGTCTTCTGTTCGAAACAATCCTCATTTATTTTCTGATCAATGTTGTCTACAACAATCTGTTCAGAGCAATCCTCATTCTTCTTCTGATCAATATTGTCTACAGCAGTCTTCTGTTCAGAGCAATCCTCATCATACTTCTGATCAGTGTTGTCTACAGTAGTCTTCTGTTCAGAGCAATCCTCATTATTCTTCTGTTCAGTGTCCTCTGCAGCAGTCTTCTGTTCAGCACCTTCCTTAGCACAACTGTCTTTCTTAATGATATCATCATAATTACATTTGGTAAATTTCTGACTTATTTTTCCTTCTACACTACCACAGCATAACTGAAGTGTATTGAAGTTTTCAACACATTCCTGAGAACACTGAATTTCAGGAGTAGAAGTCTTCGGAGATCCAACTTCTGATGCCTTCAAAACTAAATCATCTGTATCTAAAGTAGAAGTCTTTGGAGATCCAACTTCTGATGCCTTCAAAACTAAATCATCTGTATCTAAAGTAGAAGTCTTTGTAGATCCAACTTCTGATGCCTTCAAAACTAAATCATCTGTATCTAAAGTAGAAGTCTTCGGAGATCCAACTTCTGATGCCTTCAAAACTAAATCATCTGTATCTAAAGTAGAAGTCTTCGGAGATCCAACTTCTGATGCCTTCAAAACTAAATCATCTGTATCTAATTGTTTTTCTTTCCAGTAATTTTCAACAAACTGTAAATAAGTAAGTTGATACAGTTCTGTATAATGAGCTTCCCATAAAGCTTCCCAAGCATTGTGAGTATCAGCACCATCTTCTAAATGTCCAGTTCCTTGAAAACTGTCAAACTCACTACAGTCTTCCAAATTTTCAAGATTTGGTACACAAATATTTTTGTCACATTCTTTACCACTAACAATGGAACAATATTCTTGGCTGATTAAGGAACTCTTACAGTGACAAAGTTTAATAGCCATATCTGATGATGTAACATCTTCATTCGTGCACTGGTTATTATTACACATGCCTGCACCAAAACAAGTAGATAAGTTGTTTGATGTCTCCTTAGTACAAGTATTCGGCTCAGACATCTGAGAACCAGTAATTTCACAACTGATGCATGCTTGATTTTCATGGGTCTCACAACTAGAACAATCACTAGTCATGGAACTAGCACAGGTTTGAATTCCATAAGAAGTTACTTGCTTCAAGTTGGTTTTACAGTAATTATTTTCACTATATCCCACTTGAGAATAGGTTTTATCTACAGAACAATCAACCTGCTTTTTATCCAAACTCAAAAATTTATGATTTTTGTTACAATTAAGTTGCTGGCCATTATAGTCTGGGCTTAAATAGTCGTTATACTTCTCTACCCAAGTTTGCCATAAAATTAATTCTCCATACTCGGTCCAGTACAGTTCCCATGCCTTATATATATCTTCAGAATACTTAAACTCTCTACCATCTTCATAAGATACAGAGGAGTAAGCTTCATTAATATTATTAATGTGTGATTCTTCATCACTGAGAGCAAGAGGATTTTCATCTTCATCCAGAAGAGCTTCTAGCTCACCTTCATATAGTTCATCTTCTCTTCCTCCAGTGGTTAGTGTCTTTTTTCTATTTCCATATCTTTGCTTTTTCTTTACACCATACTGCCAGAAAATATGAAAAAATGTATCTGGTTTCTTTTGTAACTGAAAGTTTATATATGAAATTCAAGTATCTACCACAAATAATTAAACATGAATGTAAAACAAATATTTTGATTTCTGGTATAATTGTTCTTCCAATTACACCCTTGTTCATCTGCTACATAAATTCAGTCGCTGTGATTAACTTTTAGTAACTTTTATACAACTTTTGGGTTAAAAAATGCAATTCTGTGACCAGATCTTCATTTCTAAACATCCCAGGTAAAAAAATGCTTTATTACTAATAGCAACTCTTACAGCATGGGAAGTGATTCATCATGTAATTTAGAACTTGTTCTTAAAAACATACATATGTCATATACTAACTAATATGCATATAACTGATGACTCAATCTAAGAATTTCAAACTTATAACAATATCACAAATACATTTTGTTTTATAAAATAGTATGAATTTCCATATTTAAAATATATTCTGAGATGGATGGGTGGTGTGTATTACAAGCCAGGAATAACAAAAACAAATTGCATAACATCACACTCGTGTATTTTAGATAGTAAACCGTAACATTAGTTAATACCTTGTAGAATGGAATAGTTAACCATGTCATTAAAAAATATTACAGGGAATTATAAGCTGAACTTTTCCACGTAAACAGTAATATAATAATTATTTGACTCACTGATCCGCTTATGTTCATCCTTATCAGGTCTTCCAAAAGTAAGTATATTCTTTGAAATAGGAATATTAGTGGGACTTCAAGAATGTTATATTATTATTCCTCGACCAATAGATGTTAAAGCCAGACATTTGTCTTTGGAGGTGGACCTAACCAACCCTTCATAAAGAAATTTCATTTTAACAACTTTCAACTGAGTGTGTGTGTATGTGAACTAAATCCTTTAAACATAACTTAATCTTTATTTTCAAATAATCTGATGGAGGTTTAAGATAATCTAGTTATGAATGAACAGGAAATTTAGATTGTTTTATTCATTCGCTTAATAGGTCAGCAAATGAAATTTAGAAAAACAAGGTAATGTCCCATAATTTGTTTGACTACCTAATTTCATGCATCTGAATGTAATAAGGTAATGACCCATAATTTGTTTGCCTACCTAATTACAAGTAACTTCATGTCAATAGTTTTGGGGTTTAACAAACAAGTTATATTAAAATCAGATCATCAATATAACCAATTAATGAACTTACATCTGCAGAATGAAGTTTTTTGGAGGTACCAAATGATAGCGGTAAACCCATCTCTCTCATCAACTTCACATCATCAGCAAATTCTCCTTCAAAAGTAATGGGTTCTTCACTTCTTTCAGACAAAATCAGGGTATTTTTGGTAGAGGAATGGCTATCCAGAGCATCTAAATATTGGTTTTTGTCACCATCGCCATATTTTGTTACATTAGAAAGTCCTCGATCTTCAACACTGCAAATAGAAAGCTTTTCCCATTATAAAGTGAACACATGATATATACATAATGTTATGTCACTTTTAAACTTTTAGGTATAGGGTAGCAAAAATAGCAAGTCAATTAATGCCTCTGTTTCTGTTGATTTATGAACTTGTGGTTATTATTTTTCTTCTTTGGATCTCTAAGCATCCTTGATTTTCTGAACTGTATTGATCAACTATTTCAATGGTTACTACAATTAATTTTATCAACATTTATGTTAAACATGAATATAAAACAACAGGACTGATTGCTAACAATACTTGCCAAGTTTGTTGACCACTACTTTTTTATAATCCAAAATACTATACAAAATATTTAACTATGT